TTTCTTTTATTGTAAGTGTGGTAAGGTCGCTGCACAGCTAACTCATTACATGTGATAGTTTCTGATCACTGCACCTGCTTTTGAATTTGCTTCTCTGGAACACACTACAGATTTCTGTCGGTGTATATACAGTGTATATTGTGCTGTTTTAACTCTGTCTAGTATTGTTTTCTTGCAACCTGTATTGACGCTTTAGTTCTTAAATGACTTTCCTCCTGAAGCTGCCTCCAGGTAATCACTGTAAATGAGACTTATCTGGTTTAATGAAGCTAGAATAAGACAGACACAGACACGCATAGTGTAGGTAGATGAGAGGATTTCCACACAAGTAAACCTTTTTGAAAAAAATAAAAAACATGTATTACACCACTAGCTACACTGACTTAATATAAGTTGAACTTTCCAGATATTAAGTTGCCGACCTTATCGCATGCCTGATCCACCTATCAATAATCTCAAAGCCTAGAAATCCTTCCCCAACTCGCCTGCTCCTGTTTACATCTTCTCCTTTTCTGCCAGGTTTGGATTTGATAAGAGAAATCAATACGAGGAAATGACTTCTACCCAGATTCGTCTTATCAGTGTATAAAAAGAGCAAATGTCACTGGCATTTTGTACATGCAGTGTGCATCTCTAACAACTCTGATAGGTGGCCGTAGGCTGTTTAATGCCTATACCCATGGAGCAGTCGCTCTAAGGAAGTCTGTAAGCTTTGTTAAATGCCACCATAACCTTCTGGATGACTGAAATAGATTCTGTCTGACGTGACACTGGAAGTCTGAGTGCTGTGTTGTGTCTGTTTTGTGAGTTCATGAAACGGGTTTGTCATTATTCACATAGCAGACCACAATACAGCCCAATTACAGCACGCACGACACATTGTGATTTATTTTTTTGCACGTTTTAATAATTAAATTTTTTGAGAGATTGACTTCTGTCTGTACTGTGCAGCAGATTAAAATAAATTGTTATCCTAGAGTGGACCATTAGATGTGTCCACATCTGTATCTCAGACATAATATGATGTTATGACAATATGGAACTGCAGCAATTATCCTGAAATGGTAATAGTAGAGAAAAAAGACACTGAAAATGAGGCACTAACAGACAGTTGAGGCCTGAAAGGGCTCATAAATCAAAACATTTAATTTCACTGAAGTCAACATCTGATGTCTCTTCTACTGCATACACCGATCGGCCAGTGGGTGGGATATATTAGGCAGCAAGTGAACATTTTGACCTCAAAGTTGATGAGTTAGAAGCAGGAAAGGATTTGAGCGACTTTGACAAGGGGCTAAATTGTGATGGCTAGACGACTGGGTCAGAGTATCTCCTAAACTGCAGCTCTTGTGGGGAGTTCCCGGTCTGCAGTGGTCAGTACCTATCAGTAGTGGTGAACCGGAGACAGGGTCGTGAGCGGCCATGGCTCATTGATGTATGTGGGGAGCAAAGGCTGGCCCGTGTGATATGTTGAGATGCTGCAAGCATCTCAAAGTAATAGTGGAGTGTGTTTGTGCACTCTGAAGTAAAGAGAAGTTGCTGTGTATAGATATTTAAATAAAGATAGTGATATCATGTTACATAAGTTACATTTTCTCTAAATTCAAGTGCTAATAAGTCATATTCCAACAAAAGCTTTGGCTGTACACCAGTAGTTGGAATTAATGATTTATTCTGTTCATTTACCTTCAAACACATTTTAAAAAGCTGATCTTAATCATTAAATTACTTTTAAAGGGGAAATGTGTGATACAGCACATTATTCATCAGAATTATTACAGCACCAGCACTAAATGTTGGCTATTTAAAATCACTTCAGTATCACTTTGTTGAGTTATTCTGCTATATTCATATAATTCATTGAATTTTCTTCTCTCAACCCAATGAATAAAATAACAGAAGATCTTAATCTTTAAATTACCTTCATTTTATACTTTAAGCCTCAAAAATGAAACTTGTGAATGTACAGCGATGAGTGTGTGAGCAGGTGTCAGTCAGCAGGAGGACTCCGAGTTCATCTGCTTGGAGTTGCAGATTGGGAGGGGGTGATCAACTTCCTCCAGCTGGATGACAACAGCTGCATTATGTTGCTGATCAGGATTCGATGGAGGGAGATGCATATAAAAGGAATAGAGAGAGGCAGAAGAATGACTTCAGGACCTCTTTACTCTGCTTTATTACAACTAAGCCATCGACACAACTGTTTATTGCTTTGCATTATTGGCAGACTGAAGTTCAAACTGCTCTTAAAGAAGAAATAATCTCATCAAGTGAGTAAATCAGATGGGTCTGATGTTGGCTTTTTTACTGAATCTAAGAGCATCAAACACTTACACCTTTTTGTCTACATTTTTGTTTGCTACATCTCAAACCAAGGATCAAATTACTTGTTGGTCAAAGGGATACCGATGATGCTTTCACTGCTTTCTAAACGCACACCACCTCCAACCAACCACTTGCCAAAACCACTAAACAGAATATCACTAAAGTTCTATAATCTACGTGGTGCAAATGACGACAACTGAACCATCTTCATGACAACTGAGCAAACTCCAGTCATTGAGGGTGACATGGTTTAGAATAAAAGGCCTTAAGACAAGCATGGACCTTGAGTTAAAAATATGTTGTTATAAGAACATAAAAGCAGCAGAATAAAATGTGTCCAGTTTTAATTACCTTCCTAAAATCATCAACGCACAACCAGAAGTGTTTTGTTGCAACAAAGTTAGGATATTGATGAACAGTAACGTAGCCAACTATTCACATTACTTTAACATGAATACTTAAATGTGTGAGGGCAAGGCAGCACTTTCATTATTTCCTCCTTGTTGCCAAATACAATGACTTCTGTCTTATCTATTGAAAATGTAATTAAACCCACACCATGGAAACATGGCGTGTTTGCTGTAACTGAATTGTAACAGACCTGCTTGCATAAGGGACAAACTGTATAGCGTCACCGTGTGTGTGTGTGTGTGTGTGTGTGTGTGTGTGTGTGTGTGTGTGTGTTGGGTTCAACAGAAACAGGTTGTGTAGTTGTGTGAGTGGCCTTATTGTTAACAATATGAGCCCTGGTGATGAATGCAAATGTGTATAGCCGGGGGGGCACAATCGATTGTTTAGTCCCAACAATGTGCTGAGTCTCTCAATTCCTCTTCTGACTGGTGATACAAGGCCACTGATAAACGCACTCTGTCAGGATGTAGTGCAAGCTAGCCAATCATGTCGCAAATCACAGGGCACCGGGCTCTGGCTATAACTCGTCCTCCCATTGTCCCAAGAGGTTTCCATATATGACTACTACTTGCTGATTTATTGCCAGACAAACAGCCCTCCTGTTCACTAGTAATTTTGTTGGTGTTAGTTAGCTGTGTGTTTGCACAGTTCAAATTTACTTCTATTAATATTATTATTATATTATATTATATTTACTATCTCTTCTCATTAACAAGGCCTGGTACCCCCTTTGACACTGACTCTTATACCCTCCCTGTATATATGCATTACATTAATGCACAAAGTTTTCTTTCTTTCTTAGCTTATTTATTTATATTTTAAAGTACTTTATTTTTCTGTGTGATTTTTGTGTGATTTGTATATGTATATGTATATTTGTATTTTTTATACAACAACGCAAAGTCACATTCCTCGTAGGGGTAAAAACCAGCTTGGCAATAAACAATTCTGATTCTGATTGTGATCACACAGCAAAAGAGGGGTGCTGTTTTTATGTCACGGTTGTGCAGTACAGAAGATGTAATGTGTGTAAAGTAATTTAAAAAAAAATTGGTAGCCTTCTGTGTCTAATTAATTAAATTCCCAGTGATCCGTTGTCCATAACTTTAAGCAAAAAGAAACAAGAATATCAGCAAAATGTCAGCAAAGCAGAGAGCAAGCAGCAAAGCGTGGCTCTCCACTGTAAGAAAGCAGGAAGCATAGACATTAATTAGGCCCATTATTCCTAGGAGTTGCATCCACATTGGATGATTCTGCACTTAAAGATTCACATCCAGTGCCAATGACACAGACCTTCAATTAATGTTTAAATTATGAAGTGCAACCAACCACAATATTTTTCTAACAATGCAGTTTTAAAAATATAGGATGTGAGAAAATGTTGACATTAAATGTAATTTGGGGTTTTGATATTGATGTTCTTGTCTGGTAACATAGGGTTTTGTCAACTGCAACTGAATTCATGCTGACAGGTTTCCCATGTTGTTCTCCATGAAGGATTAAACTAAACTTTCACAGCTACCCTTGGAGCACTGACAATGACATTTAAATGAAGAAGGCACCTCTTCTTCTAAGATGTGTGTTTGTAGTTGTGGAACTAAACAATGCAAGAATAACGGATCAAGTTTGGCTTTGTCATATTTAAGATACAGATACAACATATAAACACATCACTAGATCATAATCAATCCTGCTAGGGTGGTGGAGATCAGGATCCTGTGTGGCTGCTGCTTTATAGACAGAGTTGTGCTGCCATATTCAAGCTTTGCAACTCAACAACCCTGAAGCCGATTAGTTAGAGTGAAGGCATCTACGATGTCAGCTAAACATCTGGTCTCTGCCCTCAACCATAAAGAAGAGATTTAAATGAATCAAGCAGAGATCACTGATCTGAGTCAGTTGAATCATCTTATAACCTTGAGTGTTTAAACAGACAGTTTAGTGTGTGCCTATGACATTTCTCTCTGATAGTGAGCAACAGTAAGGAGATAAGACCTGGGAAATAACGGACAAACAACACAAACACAGAGGCAAGCACAGCATGGTTTAAAAATGAACAAATAATAAAGAACAAATGCCAGCCAGTTGGTTTTGACTGACTGCCACACTCTGATCCCAATACGACACCACAAGATTTTCAGTGGCCCCATCTGGCTACCCAATTGTGTTGGTATAATCAAATGAGGAGTATGTAACCACTTTATTGTATCTACATTTATACTTTAGGGTAAGAATCAACAGAATAAAACGAAAATCATACTCAGTCTCTGAAAAAACATTTTAATTTCATTAAACAGGATTTTGTCTGTAACCAAACAACCAGAATATGGTTAAAATCATCTTTTTCCATGGCATGTCACTCAAAGTCACTGACATCACTGTTATTCACCAATGACCAATACAAAGTACCATTACATTATTATAGTTACACTGAAAACCCTTAACTACGCAACCTTGCCAGAAAATAAACCAAACCACTATCAGAAAAACCTCAGTTCTAAAACTTTTTGGCAAAATGATTTTCGGTGTACAGGTGCACTCTGCAGGTCGAAATGATTCCATCTCTATATCACTGAAACAGTACCACATGATTTTATACGATGTTTTCTTCACTTTTGTATCAAGCAACCATTTATCAGAAGCAGGGTCAGATTAGAGAAATATTTAAGGGGTTGCAAGAGAGGGTGGCATGGAGACTTTAATGGGTGGCTGAAATATATACTGATTTAATCAATCACATATATGAATATTTGCTTGGAAACACCCCACAATAAAGACATTTGAACTCAAAAACTTATATTATTGTGGTATATTAATAAAGCATTGAACAGAAATATCAAAAAGTGGCATTAGAAATCAAAAAATTGTTTTATTTTGTAATCTTAAGACATTTTTCCAAATATGTGTCTTTTTTTTACTGAACTTAGTCAAAAATGTGGGCATAACAGATCATTAAATCTATTTCTGTTTTTAAAACATTATTTTCTGTGTTAAATTTGACAGCATTTCTTTGGCAGCTCCAGTGGCCAGACATTTGGATATAGATCTTTCCCTAAACAGAAGATGACAGAAGTAAATATAATTGGTTAGTTAGTCGAATTTGTTGCCACCCATCCCCTTTTGTAAAGCAAAAATTTGCTGACCCAACTGCATTGTTATCTGTGTTGGCATGGTTACTTCCTCACATTTGATGCAGCTGAGATGCACAGCACTTTCAGGTTCTTGTTAACACCAGTGACAGAAACACAGCAGAAAACAATGCCTGTCATCAGCTGTTTACTTGTTGAGGGGTGAAAATATATATATATATATATAAAAAAAATACACAAAGAGATTAAGTTTAAAGACACACTTTAAAGTTTTAACAATTTTTGTCATTAAAATCCCATCTGTGCGTTGGGGTCCTGCAGAGAGACGGTGGTGTGTGTGTTTGATGAACAGCTGCTGTCGATCCTCTTTCTGCTTCTCAGCCTCCCACTATCAGCAGCACTCTTTACACAATGAGTGATTCACTTCATTTTCAGTGTTAATATCAGAATAGTGGTTTTCATTACACCTATGTCTGCTTGACTCGGATTATCTGTTTGTCTCATTCTGATCATCTCATCTTTCCATGGAGTCGCAATCCACCTGAAATACTGAACCAGTATAGTATTTAAAAAACACATTAACTGCCTCTGCGTGCAGTGAACGAGGTGACAGACAGCCACACTGTTACAGAGCCTGTGTTCTGCCAGTGTTAAAAGCTTTACTCTTCAGAGACATTTACAGAGCTGGCAAAGGAAGCTCCCAGCAGGCGGCATACAGCAGGGGAGGAGACAACTTTGAAGTTGGGGTAGAAAGAAAACGCAAAGTGATCAGGATGGTGAAGGGTTTTAAGCGAACCACACGTGTGATAGACATGATCAGAGTTCATGGATGAGACTGGGTTTCCTGCCAATGCCACCATGTTTAGAAAAGAAAGAAGGGGGAAAGAATAAAGTGAATGTGTCAGTCTACCACTTCCCTGATTGTGGCTCAGATATTTCAAACCTTCACATACAAGATTCCTTATACATGAACCCAGACTCCGACTAGGAGCCTAGTTTAGTTGTTTGAATGGTCTGAACAATGGGAAGGGAAGAAGTTGCACTTTTTTTTTTTCTTTGGGAGAAACCGCTTGACAGCCTATGATAATTTTCAAAAAGCACTTCTCAGGTCACATTACATTATAATAATGATAAATAAACTTCTTTAATTCCTTGCTAAGAGAGGTCATTTTGATATTTTTTTAATAAACGTAGATGTCTGTGCAGTTTTATTGGAACATTTTTTGGTGATTTGTGCAGGGTAAAGGTTAATTAACTGACATTCTCTAGTATTTCTCTGAGGCCTCTCCGTGTTAGCTTCATGCAACAGTTTAAATGAAAATGTCTATTGACCCCGCTTTGCTTATAAATTACTTGATTATTTGTACGATTGGATTGTGTATATATAGTTCACTGATGTGTATCCAAAAATGCTATGTGGTTAAAGTAATATTCCTATCTTTTATTAATTGATATTATTCATAGTGGGCTTTTTCCAGAAATAGCCTTTCAATGTATTTACAATCTGTACCTTTCTTTTAAAGCAGCTTTGTGAGTGTCGGAGTCTGCCATTCCCGCCCTGGACTCAAATTGCCTCCCTATGCTTACCTACAGCGTACGTTTGTTTGGCTGCACTGTAAACAAATACACCAGTGAACAACATTGACATATCATCACCTTTTTAAGCTGATTCAGAGAACTTGTTAGCAAACAATTGCTTATTTACACATCTAGCAGTTATATAACAACATTATCATTCAGTCATGTTCCATTGTTCATTCTTCTTTTAGCTATGATTTTGGTCTCTATGCACTCTGAAGGAAATATCTGGCTCTTTAGCTGGTGAACATAGTGGAGCACTCAGCAGCAGCTGGTCTCTTAACTGTTGGTGTGGAGCAGGTAGTGTAAAGAGGGTTATTAGAGCTTTTATGCTGGCAAACAACTGCTTGCTGCAGCTGAAAATATGAACTAAAACAGTAAACTTGCAGGCAACACAGCTGAAATGTGTTAGAAAGCTGGAGGGAACTGCAGATTTGGGGGATAAATCATCACGAGCGACACCTTTTCACATTGTCGTTTGATACATTATTATTAAAAACACTAATTATAGCAGCTTTAAGGATTAAACTTTAAAACTTGGTAAATCCATGACTAAGCTTATAAATTTGGAATGTTTTTTGTAATATAGTGACAGAAAATTCTCCCTAACACTTCTTCTTCTAAAAACTGCAAGTAAGTGGGAGGGAGGGAAGTTGAAGACAAGAAATATCCCTAGAGGCATAGTGGGTGACCTTGTGAAAGGTGGGTGAAACCATATCATCTTAACTAAGGATCTGATGACTGAACTTCCAGGGCACATCCTGCCAATTACAAGTCCTCTCCTGTCTCTACATGCAAGTATCCATCTCTCTCCAAGAGAAACCCAACCACAAGGGGGCGTAGTTTCACATTTTCCCTACCCGTTCGCTATAAAAACACTAATACAGCCAGTATTTCCAACATTTCAATATAACAAAGTGATGTTATCCAGAGATTGTTACAAAGACATCAATTAAACATTTACATTTTTTTTTTATATTTACAGTTGAAACAAGGATATCAACACCTCATAAGTCCAACACTGTTGCCTGTTTGTATCAGTATATTCAAAATTTACAGTAAAGCAACAGAAAGACATCACTGTGTGAATTGTTCTTTAATGCCTCCACATGCTGTGGAGCCACTTCGGCCGGTAAAGTCTCTGAGGGGCTCTGAGAGCAGTGTAAAGTCCTGAGGCGTGACAGGACACCCCTGTGTGCACCCTCTGCTCCTAAATCCTCCAGTTCATCAGGTCATCAGGCCTCCGGTTAAATGAAATACTCCTTTGGGTTTTCACAGGAGACATTCTGCGAGTCGGCCTGGTTGTTGAAAGGGAAATCTGGGCTGTCCTCCTGTTTGACTCCCTTCACTTCCTGGTTCCGATATGTCTCTTTTTTCCGGTAGAGGAATCTGGCAGTTATCGCCAGGCCAGTCACAATCACAAAGATGACCACTGCTATGACACCTGTGAGGTAGAGGAGTTAGAAGATTTAAAAGGCTGAGATACCACATAATTATCTTTTCAAATTTCAATATGCCTGAATGCTTCAAAGACTACCCCAAAATCAGAACAAATGACATGCCTATTTTTCGTCAATTGTACTGCCATTTTATTTCCCAATGTTTTGATTATCTTGCTAGTCTAACTTTCAAGTACATTAAACACCATTTTAAGTCTTTTGAATCGATCAAGCTCCTCAGTTCTGTTGAGCGCACTTGGGAATACGAGAGCAGGTTTCCTTTAATTGGAATTCCAAAATACATCTGAAATCAATTTAATACCACATTACATTATGAAGAGACGGCGCTTTTTAAGATAACAGCAAAAAAGTTTTCCCATCAGCAAGTCATTCCTGCATACGTTTAATTAGGTGAGCTGCCCTTTGTGCACTGAGACAGAGTCAGGCCAGTTTAATGGACAGTTTTAAACGACTTTTCTCTGTCTCACCTTTTCTATCTACGCGATTATAGATTGAACCTTTTCAGTCTTCACTTTGAATCAATCTGTGCTGGCAGAGCAACAAAGTTTTAAATGAGTTTTAAATGGACTCTTGTCTGGCACATCACTCTTCTCTTTCTTGGAGCTCAACATCTGTCCACAACTTTGTTCACCCGAGCAAAGGTAACTTTTAAACTTTGGTCACTTTGTTAAAAAAAAACAAATAGGTTAATATCAATATTTGATAGATGAAATTTGATAGATGAAATCAGAATGGCTGACTTACAAATGATTGTCAAAAGGGTACCAAAACACAAAGGATCCTGGTTTGATACCGTTAAAACGAGACACATGTTCTTGTTTCAGTGCAGTGCAACACAGTGAAAAGGCTGAGTACCTCCAATCAGAGCTGAGTCAGTCCTGATGGCATTGACTAAAGGTTGACCTGAACCCACTGAACCAGACTGGTCTACAGCAGAGAAAGAGAAGAGAATAGTGGAGGAGAAGAGGAGGAAGACAGAGGGGAAAAAGAAACCACCAAGACACAGGTCAGATCAGAAAGAGACACAGAAGAAACATCTAGAGACAAAATCAGAACATCGTCATTCAGAGTGGATAGGGAATATTACATAAACTCACTACAAATAACTCCACTAAAGCATCTCAAACTGGATGAGAACGAGCCCAGAGGACAGCAATCCCAAAGGAAACGTTCCCCTCTGTGGTCCAAATTAATTAAAGCATTGATCACACTGTCATTAGTCTCAAAAAAACAGGGAGGTTACTGGATGCGATTAATGAGCTGGAAAAGCAGCTTTCATGCAATTTCGACACACAGAAATGGAAAGACAACAGGAGAGGCACGCTACTTTACTGTAGATTAAAGGACCACTCTTTCCAAACATGAAGGAGAAACTATGGTAGCTGAGGAAATAAGAAATATACATTTGTGTTTGATAATTTTTTTTGTTATTGTGGTTTCCATGGCAACTATAAAAGCTCCTGGCCAATTGCGCAGCCAGGTGAGTTCTTTGTGTAAGTACAGTAAAGAAATAGGTGTGCAAATTGAGCATTGACTGTTAAGTGTTAAGAAAAGCAAACACCATGGCAAGCCTGAATGAGTTGGGCAGTGTAGCTTGTCATGCTACATAATGAGGACTTCAGGCTTGACAAGTTAACCAAAGATACTGTAATGACTCCCAATCGAGCATACACCACTGCACCATTGTTGTTACTGTCAGCTGCACTTCTCACTGTGGCTTTTTCTTTAGTATGTAAAGATGTAGAATATTGTCGGCTTTATCCCTTGTTAACAATCCAAACGAAAAGTATAAATACTCAATCTTTCTGATTTCTCAACGCTTTCTGTGTTCAAACTGAAGAAGTAAATCTTTTAAAAACTGTTCACAAATATAAAGTTTCGCTTTAAAAAGAAAAGCTACTTTAAATGCATTTTTGGGGGATTATATTCACTGGCACGTCTTTAAACCTTCGGTGCTTTAGTGAGTATTTTTGGCAGCAGGATGGCGTCTGTGGGATTGAGTTAAAATAAACTGCAGTATGGGTGGTCATGGTAATGAAGGAACATGTCACCCGGTGCAACAGTGAGTTTTAACTGTATTTAGACAACAATTGAGCTCTATGGCACAGAAGAGTAAGCTATGTCAGGCTTTGGCTACACAGGCAACACTTAATAATATGATAATTTCATTGATAGTTTTGGGCTTTTCATGAAATTTGATCACCATATTTTCAGACTAAACATCATTCAGTTCTGAGCTTCTAAAACAGTCTTGTATCACTAACTTTTTAAATTCACAGGACCACATCTATTGGAAGTTTCTATGCAACAAATAAACAGTCAAAACACATAATGGACCTCACTTTTGATATGTGGCACTTAAACTTAACCCTAAATAGTATCCTTACCATCATATGAAGTTTGATTATTGAATTTTGAAAATCTTACCAACTTCCCTCTCCTACCTGACAGGTGGTGTGTGTTCTCTGCTGCATAGGGATTGGCCGAAGCCGAGGAGCCGCAGTTGGACTGGACTAAAGGTCCGGTGATGATGACAGGGCTGGTGTCCGGGTGGAGCAGAGCAGCTTTCAGAGGGCTGATGGAGTTAAACTGGACCACAGAGAGACAGCCGGCAAAACCGACAGACCCCAACCTGGCCAGGTCTGGATCTAAATCATCAGACCCTGTAGAAGGAAAATGAAAGAGAGAGTTGAATCCATTCATACAGATTAGAGCAAATGGAAATGACCTATACTGAAATGAAAGAGGCATAATTGCACATTTTCTGTCAGCTATGATTTTAATACTCATGGGCCATTCATTCAAGTAAAATACCATTTTTTTTTTTTTTCAAATCAAGCATATATTTTGCTGGATGGAGAGGTTTGACTTCTACCTTGTACACTTTATTGTGTTGTGAAATAGCATCACATTAGCGGAGGAGAATCACAATGCATTAAATATTACTATAATAATAGTACCATTATTGTATCAGACCTAATAACACATGAATTAAATTAGCATTTGTTTAAAAAAAAAATCAAAATTTACAGCTGCTAGCAGGCCGGCAATGGCACATGTTGACGCAGTTGTAACTTTTTCTATGGTGACTCATTGAATGATGCTGTAGTGCTAATGCAGTCACATCTTATTATACACGAGAATGAAGAAATTCACAGAAATGTTCCACCTATTCATATCCTGGCATGTCTTTCCATTATCCTGCAAGACATACACTGAATGAGTCGGGAAGGATTTTTGTGTCTTGCTCAAAACAACTCTGAGTCAGCAGTCCTTTGGGGAACAGTATCTTTCTAAGGTCCCTCCACTACCTCACTTTAACTCAATACATACCCATGGCCATGACGTTCATTCACTAACCGGTTCACTGACTCAGCTGCAGATTCCCGTTATCTCTCATTGTGGGAATGTCTGGTGGCAGTGCATTGACCTGAACTGATTAAGTACCTCTAAACATGTCATTCATTCATTATGCTGAGTACAATCCTTTTTATATGTTTCTAGGTTTGTTTGTTTACTCCACTGAGTGCAGCAGATGGACACAAACTGACACCAAGTCAGGATCCATAATGCTCATCATCATCGAATCAGAAAGAATGCCAAACAGACGCTCACCACGCTCATTACAGTAGACAAACTGTCAATGATTCAGTTTCCAGTCTGCGTCTATCACTCCTCAAGACAGATGTGCACTCTCACCTCTATCTGTTCACTTTATTGACTTAAATCCCTTCATCATTCACCTGCCCTCCTTCACAGCATTGTAAACAGCAGCTGCGAAAGCCGACATTAGCGCTGTAAACAGCTGCATCAGTGTCTGTTCAGATGACTGAGAGGTGACTGTGCTTTCACCAGAACACATCTGCATGTTGATGAGAGCAACAGGAAACATTACTGCAGCCTGTTTCAGCTGAAACATGCTTTACTCCATCACCTCTCTCCCTCTCTCTGCCTCTCTGTATTCCTTCCGGGTCCATTAGTTAGGCTGATGGATAACAGGGTTGGCAGGAAATGACAGAAAATCCACTTTCCTGCTGCTTTTCTGATCTTGATCTGACTCTCCACCTCCTCTAGGTTGACAGAGGGGAAGACCGGTCACATACTGACATAACGGGGTTAAAACCCACTGAGCTGAGTTACACCATCCTGCAGCTTTACATCCAAAAAGGCAAAAGATCTTGGAGAATTTGTATTAGTTACTCCATAAGATGTAGTGTGCTTGCCTCACATTAAATGTAGATTTTATTATTTTTGTTCGGTTGTTTTATTACAATATTTTCTAATAAAGCCTAGAAATGCAGGTAATTCGTTTTTGAGCACTAATGGACTTTTAGAAAAAAGCCTCTGAAACATTAATTACAGCCTGAGACACAAAAACTCTGTGTCGAATTGAATCAGAAAAATAATGCTTGCTTGTGTTGAATTCAACCACTGCAATGCTGAACACTCACATAAGAAATATGTAACAACAAAAGCTTCTGCATGTTTTCTTAAACTGCACTCTGTTACAAGACTCTAGTAAAGAGCCACTTGAGTAAGAAACTACTAAATTAAATATTATTAAATGAATAAAAACAACATTTTGTTGGGATATATCATTTTCTTGGTCTTGCTTGATAGTACTGATACAAGTCATTTCAGGTAGCTGACTCATGTTTTACTACTAATAGCCAGAATGTTTCCTTTTAAACTGACAGAGCAGTTAATGTGTCTCGGGCTTGTCAGAGCACTGCGATTGCAGCCTGCAGCCTCTCAGAACCTTGTGTTATTAACAGCTTATATCTCCGTCCGTCTCTGATGGAGCCATGACGGAGCCAATTACTGTCTCACCCCGACTCTGTTACAGGTCCCTGTCCAGGACTACACAGCTAAATGGATAAAGCATGGCACTAACATAACCCGGGTTAGTGACACTTTGCAATGAAGCATTCATTAAATGGACCTCTGTTCACTTCTGTAACAGGACTGAGGAGAAGAGTGTATATGAAGGCAGAGAGACCTTTGACCAAACAGTCTGACCTTTTGAAAAGAATAAAGGAATAAAGGTTTTAGTTAAACTGCAGTCTCTTCTCATAACCATTAGTATTAACTTTCACTTTAACATTTGTTTCTAGTAGGGCAGTCTGAAGTCATCTCTTTATCAGAAAGGCAGTAAAACAGGAAGAAATAAACTAGTCACCTTACTTCATACTTAAATAATCCAAACATTTTTGTGTGCAAATTCTGTATGACCTAATTAATAACTGGTTAACTTAGTGATCTGGATGCTAGAGAGAACATAACAAAGTCCAAGATGTGGTTCCTGCTGTGATTGTGCACGTGTCCAACAATGTTATCGTCAGTTCTACACCTGCTCACATGTTGTTCTAGATTTGAGTTTACATCAATTTATTTCTGTAGATTAAGAAAGCACATGCCGAGTGTCGGATGAGACCAAACATTTCAGAGCTGTTGTTCAAATGAGTGTAAGTCCAAGAGCTCTTTAACTAAAAAGGCCTTGTCTCTGCTTTTACTGCCTCCTCACTTACCTTGCACTTTGCCCAACACCAGTGACTTGATGGCATTGAATTCTCCGTCAGATGTCAGGTTGAAGTCTTCTCTGGCATTTTGGTCAATCTGAAACAACCAATAAATGTCTCTTATTATTTGTGGGTAAAAACTTAAAAACTACTCAGTAAATCTGACTTTTGTGCCACTACTTTTCATTATTATTCATTATGTAGAAGTCAAACACTGTGGTGATATCTGAATTTGGAACTCCATTCGTTTATTGTTGAATTTTTAGAACAGTTTTCCCTTTGTTTCATCTCGCCAGCTCAGTGGGAGACATGAGTGACAGAGTCCATACTTTCAGAGAAAAACATTCAGTCATCTGGGGTGAAATTCTCCACTGGAGATTATTTTAATGAGTGCTTCTCTACAGAGAGTCTCACAATGTGGCTGTGGAGAAGAAAGTAAGTCAGAGTCAAAACTGAAGTTTAAAACTACACTTCAGCATTTAAAGTCCATTTAACACCAAAGCTTGAAGAAATACCTTATTCTGCTTTAATATTTTACTTTTAGCTCTGTTTGACTTTTTAAGTGGGACTTTTAAATACTGATTACTTCATTGAGATATCTCTTGACTTGAAACTCTGGTTGACAGGAATGTCTGAATCCAATTTCATGGCAATCCATCTGATAGATGTCAAGACATTTCACTACAAACCACAAATGTCACCCTGTTACTGGCGCTAGAAGAAAAATCAGAGGATCACAGAAGTCAGTAGGATAAATCTGATGGACCTGTACAGTCCGGACCAAAGTGGTTGCCTGACAGACCGGCCAAAAGACCGGCATTACCATCCCTAAAGCCATGCCACTAGCATGGCTAAAAATTACATTTAACCCGAGGCTATATGACTGCAATTAATAAATGGAAAGAGAGGAGAGGAAAAAGTAGAGAAGGTCTGGAGTATAATAGAGCTGGCATTCCCTCAAGTACAGTTGGTGCATGTTGCAAGAACAGAACCCAGAACAGCAGTTAAATTCATGTGTAAGAACGGGAAATATAAGGAAAACTAGAGACACTGAATCTGAACACACCTTAAAAAGCAGCTTAACACTGTGAATGGTACATTGTGTCATCACTTTTGGGTGTGGTTGAAGGTGCAAAAGGGCAAAACTTCCAACCAGAGAGGGCAGTGAAATGCTGCATTACAGCCCGGTATTAAGTTACTTGAACAGTGGGGTGTGAAAGTGAGTTGAATGCACCTTTTGATAGAACTAAAGTGTTTCCTTTTTAAAGATGGATATCTACTATCCAAAAAAACTGACACATACACACACACACCTATAAATGCACATAATGAATATGGAAAATGGGTTTAAGTCCTGTTCCTGCTGATACTGAAAGATAACACCAACTTTTTTTTGCCTCAGATTGATATGATTTATTTTAGTTTCCACATTTTGGAACCTTTGTTTCTCCCGGGTCTTATGTTCTCCAGTTCTAGCGTAAAGATAAGGTTAAGGTTATGGGCTCACGGAACTTAGGACCCTGGGAAAATAGGTACGCTGCTGTGTCTCCTGCAGTGTCTGAACAGAGTGGACTAACTGGAGCATGCTGTGAGATCAACAGAAATCCCCGGAGGAAAAACACTGGCCACAGTACAAAAACAGAGGACAACAGTGTATTGGCAGCCCCAAGTGATTTAGGCTTCATTGAGTAATTTTTCAAAGGGACATCTGCACAGGGGATGGGATATGATACTGTCCACTTGTGTGGACTAGTGTGGAGGCTGCCGGCCATCGGGAAGCAACACACCGAAACTCTCGCCGAGGTTCACCCGATGTCTCCAGAGTATGTTATTAACGATATAATGATTCAAGATGATGGAAACTGGCAAGATGAGATGCACCTCATATTTCACTGGAGCCACACAACACAGTGAATCAGGAGGCTGCAGCCATGCAAGACGAGGTCACCTTGTATTTCCTCTCAGTGTTGATAATTATACAGACATTCAGGCTGCTGGCTCAGATGAAGTTAACCTCATATATCATCCGAGGCTGTTGTTAACAAGATAAGACATTCAGTAGATCTATATATGATTAAGACACTTCATATTTCATCTGAAGCTCTTTTAATGTCTAGTTTGTCCCTGCCGCCCTGCCGTAGCTCTGCTGTTATCACTGGGGCTGTATTTTTGCTAAGAGGAACAACACAGTACTGTAGAGAAGATGCTCCATTTTAAAATTATACACAAACACCCACACATGTGACGTGCCTCATGTGGATCATTAGTTCTGTTTTTCTAACATTTTAGTGTGTGCTATCTTGAGTGACAGCCAGCAACTCATTATCTCAAAAGTGGTAAAACAAATTATTTTAAATGTCATGTGCCCAAAACTGTCACTTTTTGGTCAAATTGGTCAAATTTGGACAAAAATAGCACATTATCTTCATCAATTAGGAACTAGTGTCCCTGTTTTCACAATAATGAATAGTAAGAGACCTCTATAGGCTTCAAGTGAACTTGGCTACAATAACATTTTAGCACAAAACTTGGGTCAACATCAGATCCAAGATCAGGTCAGAAACTTTAACACCCCACTGTGTTAGTAACAAAAGCATTTAGCCATACTTTGGAGCAGAGCATATGGACGGAAAACTGGCTTATGGTGCAGCAGTGGTTGGGTTGTTGCTTCTTTAGCTGCGACCAGCAGCTCTATAGCTCGCTTGGATTATCGGTCGGTCCACAACATATTGTTAGAACATACTGTAACTGACATCAACTCAAGCTATAAACTTTTTAAAGCCAGATCTTAAATACCAAAGTTCGTTTTGGAAGTGCATTTCTGCTCTCGTGCACATTTGTTTTCTGAGTTTTATATATTTTTTAAAATGTTTTGTGCTCTAGAGATTGCAAGAGGGAGGCTTTCTGATAAACCAGCTGCCACAGGACACATCTGGTTTTTAAGGGGATGTCATTTTGTCTGCACAGTGACAGCAACTAAGAGCAATAAGGGTTTCTATGTCTCCATCCGGTGGTTAAAAATGTCACAGCTTTGATTTTGAAAGTAGGAGAAGTTGTCTAACAGGATGTTGTTCTTTGTACTGCAAAAATTAAGCTCAGTTTGAGAAAGTGAGAGTGAGCAGCCTTGATAATTACAAGCAAGAAAAGTCTTATTGAGCTCTAAAATGTAGTTTCACAACTTTGTCAGGCTCAAATCGTCTGCTGATCTAATTCTGCTCTAATAATCTTGGCCTGCGCTCCTTAAAATGTTAGTATTTTTGTGCTCTTTCAAACATTGAATTTAAAGCCAACGTCTCCCAAAATATGGTATAGTGTATTTATTTTACTCTCTGTACATAGGTACATGGTGTAGATAATAACTATATGGTGAGTGTGTGCGTGTATTTTTACCTGCACTGACACAGAGTCTGTCAGTCTCCGGATGGTAACAGTGTGTAGTTGTCCATTGGCCAGGCTCCTCACTCTGCTTCTCAACACTTCAACATCTCTGCTGCTGTCCAGTTTGTATCTCACCTCCAGCTTATCTTCACACACACACACACACACACACACACACACACACACACGTACACACAAAGTTTTTCCAATTTAAACTTTTTCTCTTGATGTAAACACCCAGGTTGTCTTCTCTAATCTTATCTTTTTTAAGGATGTATTTTTTCACTTCAATGATGAATCCAAATGATGAGCATCTTAGTCAATAAAGCTTTGCATATTAAGAGGATTAGTAGTTAATTCCCTATCAATAACACAACTCAGAATCTAATTAATTTTACTAATATTCTGAGGATTAAGAGCAGATTTAATAAAAGCCCTGTGATGTCTGTGGGCTTTTAAGATTGAAATTACACATTGTCCTTCAAATGCATGTTAACATTTATTATACTTTTCAAGTATAGTAACTAATCACACAAAGAACATTTCATGATTACAATTCATTATATTCTTATTTTTATAACAAAGTTTTATTTATCACAAGGTAATAATTATTCGGTGTAAGAGCTCAACTAATTGCTGTTACAGATAATAAATGTGAGTGATTGACGAGGAATTGTTTTGTTTGAGCAAAGGAGGTTTAACTGCAGGAAATAAAAAAACTGAGGCAAACAAGAGAGAGCTTTAGATATTTAATTGGACACTTCAGTATGAGTGCATTTACCTGACAACTTCACGGTCAGCATGAAAACCGTCCATTTACAGCTAATCTATCAGCAAAGTGCTGATTTTATTAGACTCCTGGATGCTGAAAATGTAATTTTAAATTCTCCTACTACTCTTAAAAGCCAAACTCACAACATTATTATTTCACACAAAAGTGTATAAAACACATCAGCAAGTTTTCAGCTGTTTTATTCAGCGGCACACTGACCTCCCACCCATTAGCAGACCACCAAACTTTTATTCCCGCAGCATCTCTCATCAGGTCTTTTTTTTTTAGCCTGAGACAAAACATAATAGCCGGTCCGGCTGGACGGATTAAAAGCAGTAGAGGCTGACTGGGTGAATCCAGAGAGAGGAAAGATCTGACAGATCCTGATAGATCTGGTAAAGCTGAAGAGCACAGCAGAGGAGGAGGAGAGAGGAGGAGAAGGAAACGAGGAGAGGTCGATATCAGGAGAAAATGACAGGAATGAGAGCGAGGACGAGAGGAAGAAGGGAGGAGAGGTAAGATCAGAGGATGGGAGGAAATGCGAAGAGAGAAAAGTAATTGAAAAAAGATGAAGAGAGGCGAAAAGGAGAAGATTTTTGATTTTAGGTTTGAAAATGTGGACAGAATAATATAAGGGAGAGCAAGAACCAAGAGGGAGAAAACTGAAAAAAATTACTAGAAGGGGAGGGGGGGAGTAAGAATTTGAAAAAGGTGTTAAAGAGGAAGGAAGTTGCAAGTGAGAGGGAGGCAAACAGGAAAAGAAGCTTTTCAGAAATAACATTCAGCCTCAAATCTGAATGACCTGGAGCAGAGGAGACAAAGAAAAGGGATGTGATAATGGCACGAGAGAGGGAAGCAGATAGGAGGAGAGGTGTTTAAGAGGCGTTTAATAAAAAATATTGTTTAAAAATAATTTAAATCAATAAAAGCGGCAGGATAGAGAAGTCAAGATGATTTAAAAAGACAATATGACACTCCAGCTCAAGCTTGAGCAACAGTGAAACAAACAAATAAAATAAAAGCATCCTCACCATGCTTGTTGATGAGCAGGGCCAGGTACTCTCTGTAGTAAGAGCTGACGTAGAACAGCACAGCCGGACTCTGGTTGGTCCTGAAGCTCAGGGAGACGTTCTCTCCTCTCAGAGTCATGTCAGAGTAGATGGAGGACGGCAGGGCGCTGCTGTTCCTGCTCAACTCGTACGGCTCCTTGAAGGTGTAGCTGACAGACGTCCCCGACTTGAAGCTGGCTGACACCTCTGAAGAAGGAGAGACGAGCCACAGAGAGGTTACAGTGCAGGCTTTTATTTCGCAATGTCAGAAATGGAAAGAAAAAATGAAAGATGATTTCGTAAGATAGATAGAAACACAGTGTTCTTTGAAAACAATAAGTCACACTGGCAAAACATTAAAGATATCCCAGAAAATGCATACTTTCATTTTTGGCAACTGACTCATGCAGACCACAAACTTAAAACTCTTGATCCTTAAAAGACAAATGAAGGCTTTTTTTGATGTTTTCAGATCAAGAGTACTGCCATTGATTTTTCACCAATGAGGATACTTGATTCTTGTTTTTAGGGATTCAACTCCCCCTTTAAAGAAGTGGACCAAGACCTTTTCAGGTGGTCTTGATTGTCTTGACTTCATTTGAACAATACCAAACAGGTATTAAGGCACCTTTTATACCTGTGAATATGTGGTTACAGGAAAATGTCTGTAAATAGGCCAACCTCAAGGTGGAAGAACTGGTCTTCTGCTTATCCCCCATTTGAGCTCCCCCAGTCCAATTGCAGTGTCCTTGGACAAGATACTGAACCACAAATTGCTCCTGATGGCTGCGCCGTTAGTGTGTAAGTCTGTGTGTATGGGTGAGCTTAGTATCATTGTGTGCTGTATCGCTCCTGTTGAGCAGTTGGAAAGTCTCTGCCATCACTGTATGAATGTGTGAGTGAATGGGTGAATGTGACAAGCGTTGTAAAGTACTTTGAGTGGTGTGTACACCAGAAAAGCTCATTTACCATTTAAAAAGAAATGGCTACAAAACAATAAGAACAAGAAAATGTACTGAGGGTAAAAAACACTTTGTATCATAAAAAATTAAACTAGTCTTTTTGTACCGTTCGTGTGTGAGCAGTTGGTTGAGTCAGCCGAGACAGACTGTAATGCACAGGCTTTATTGGCCCAAAAAACAGTATTATGCAATCCAAAATAACATCCCCATAACTTTACAGATATAAATCAACGCCTCTCTGACACCGTCTCATCATGCAGGGTTATTGTATTGGATTGGTTATGTTGTATGAGTGTTAATAATATTGTGTTCAACCCCTGTAATTCTAACTTTCAGGAACCGTTTCTGAACGAAAACAGAAATTCAGTAGGATTAAACTGCTGCTGTGATTCACAACCCCAATAGCAGCAAAGTATTTTGCCGCTGTTTATTACTTTAGTTTAGTTTTATTGATAGATTTCTTGGAAGTGGAATGCATTGACTTTTTTTATATACTGCATGAACACCATTTATTTCAATTTGTAGCATCTCTGTTGTTTTTCCTCCAGTAGAATAATTGTTTCCCTAGCAGAGCACAATTCATATATTTGCAGTAACTTCTCACTTTGTTTTAATATTGTAATAATGAATAATGAAATGCTCAGGGTTACTTTAGTTCAATACCATATTTACAGCATCTAAACAACTCTGGCACCACCATGCAGTTCTCAATATACCAGCACAGAAGCAAGAGAAAAACCCTGAAACAATGTTTAACAAGTTTATATCCATTTCCTGACATTAAACACAACTACAGTATATCCATGCAGGATTTCACAAATGCTTCAAAGCAAATCACTTTCTGTGCCTCAGCCTACTGACGTAGATGCAGTAAGTACAGTAGATACCAACAGTGGTTGGGGAGAGGGCGAAGAGAGTGCTCTAAGTTATTGAACCCGGACAAGTTAAATGTGATGACGCATTATTAATGCAATTAATTTAATATCAAACGAATGACATAAACAGACTCCAACACATCAAACGGACACTATTTGCATGAAACCTTTTATGTCACATGTACTTCTTGGTGAGTGAATACACTTAGTTAAGTGTAGTAAAAGGTACAAGGAATTATATAGATTCTTAAACTTTAAAAAGTAGCAGTAGTAGTAGTCTCTTATGTTTATTTGCATTTATATTTCCCTCCTTTGAGTTTTGTAAAGGACATCATGAGAATAAATCCTATAAGGGTCTTATAGAAATATCTGCCTTTATGCACTCAATGACTTATTAGACGTTATCTGTATGGAGATACAGACGTTCAGGGTCAATCTCCAGAGTGAAGGACTCTGCTCAGACAATTTCCTGTGTCAACTCTTTCATTCTGCTCCTAAAGGAAGCCGACGCCATACATTGAAGCAACTTTAACCTCGGATGTTGAGATATATGAGTCAGCTACAGTAAATGTGAAGCAAAGCGGAGGGGATGGAGGCATGAGGTGACACTGCGCAGCATGTTGTAAAGTGGGTAGACGGGTCTCATAGAGAGAGGTCAAGGTAGGTGGTACCATTAATGTTTGAGCCAAAGAAAAAAAATCTAACAGAATAAACCCTCTTTAATAGCATCAGCTTTATAAAAGCTGAGGCAACTTTGTCCATACAATTTAAAGATACCCTGTGGAGTCTTTCACCACTATAGATGCACTATAGAGCAAGGGTGTGTTTGTAACATGAAGAAGGTCACACAATTGTGCGAGCAGGCTGGCAACGTGATACACATGGGATATGTTGTAGTATATTCTGCACATTGACAACTGGTTGTCGTAAGATGCAAAGAAATGTAGCCAAAAGGCAACAAAGGGGGTGAAGAAGATGACTGCTAGCAAGTAAACATGGATGTAAACGATGTAAAGGATTTAAAATATTTTTAGCTTTACAAATTTTATGAGGAAGTAAATGCATTCAACACATTTCTCAATGATAGAGACAATACATTTTAGTGAGTAACACTGAATACAAACTGAAAACTGAACAGGGCACCTTTAAGCTTAACTTATAAATCCTTAGAAAAAGTGATATTTCATTACATTTCTCTTTCAAATAGATTTTTAAAAAATTCTAAATACCTCAAAATCACCTACAAAGTGAGATGATTCTCCAGCCAAAGGAAATCTTTACCAACATATAGACATTGGTTATTATGACAGTATTACTTGCCTACGCCTCTACAGTGTGTATATGTGTGTACCTGTATGGCAGAAGACCCCAGTGTACGCCGACAGGCCGCAGTCACAGTGGAAGCCGTTGGCTCTCTCCACACAGCGGCCCCCGTTCTGGCAGAACGAGCCGTAGCTGCTGCAGTGACCCGGGCAGCCGGGTCGAACCCCGGGTGTGATCCTCGCCCTCTCCTCCAGGTCCAGGGTGATGCCATTCAGCTGCAGAGAGCGAATACAGCCCCGGAAGCCCTTCTGTCTGGACGCTGTGCCTCCTGAAAACAAATAAATGTTGCACGGCATTTGTTTTTTTTACATCTCAAGTTTGCGTGCTATGTCGCCAATATCACAAGCAATCAGTGTCAAAGCATGTGGGAATCAAAGCTAACACTCTCAGAACAAATATTCCTGTGCCTGTCCTCTTTGTCCCAGTCTTTTTTTTTTATTTCTTTGTGTGTTGACAAGTCTGTACATTTTCTTTCTCTCTAGTTCTTCATTTCTCCTCCTCCTGTCATCTACAGCAGATCCACATGTCGCCTCTGCTCCCCTAGAAGCTTCAAACTGTCAGCACTCTTCTTATACAATGACACAAGGATGAAACAGCAATAAGGCAACATGCTGTTGGTGGAAAACAGTTTTGGGGACATAACTTTGATCAGCTGTTTTTAGGTCTGTCTGTACAGCATCATTCTTGGTGTTTGAGTGCTTTGGTGAATTTCTGTCTGACTGTGTGTCCTGTCATGTCTGTCTGCATGCAGCTGAAAGGTATATTTCCTTCCCCTTCAATCACTTTTCCTTGCACCATGTCCAGCACCTCGCCAGCAATTTGTTACAAAGTGGCTACAAACCTGAGGTCAATGAAAGTATATCAAAAATACATGTCCAGCTGCAGCCCCCACATGAGATGGCACAGCAAGAGTTTGAACCTGACAACCTGTAACTTCTGCAAAGATCACAGATTGAAATTGTTATTGTCCTCAGAGTTCAGGCATGCCGGCACTTTGCTCTCCGCCTTCAAAGCTAACAACTTCCTACTGTTCAGCAGCAGCAGCTTTTCACATTAATAAATCACTGAGCTCTACTTGGCCCCTTTTTGCTCTGATACAAGTCGCTACCTGTAAATCACTGAAATAGGTGGGTAATGCAGAGTGCAAAATGACCCAATGAGAAAAGTATTTTAATTCAGTTGATAGCTCAGAGTTACCATTTTAGATAAAACCTATGCCTTAACACTGGCTGACTGCAATCATTAGCACTCAGTATGTTTTCTCAGAGACCAGAATCTGTCTGACTGGGAATTCATTTACAATTAGTAATCTGAGAGTCTTAATGAAGCAAAAGTTTGACTGCATCTAGATAACTTGGGTGAATGGGATGTGAGGCAGTGATTCCAAAGTAGTACATAGTGCCTTTTTGTTTTACTTCAAAAAAATGATAATAACTTCCACTGTTTTAAAGTTGAATCCTTTATTCAAAGACAAACTATAACACAGCACTTCACTTCAACTTGTGAGTGACAGCAGTTTCCAATACTGAAGTAAAGAAAATATAAATTATTTCTGGGGAGTGAAATGTTGGCTGCTACTTGTCTTTAAATGCCAGACTCTTGACTATCAGCTACACACAGGGCAATTTAATGTATTAAAAAGTTTTTCTGTCACAGTCAAAACATCAAATGACAGGCTGCTGCTTTGGCTTAGCATTGTATATTGGTAAAATGTTTCCACTCTGGGGAAAAAAAAAAAGGATGTAAAGCTAAAATGGATAGGTTCGCATAGGTCTGGTCATGATTTCCAGGATAACTATTGCTTTCAGGAATGAGAAAACACACAGAAAATAGCCGTCATTCTTAATGGTCTAAGGAGTATGTTTTGATGCTTCTTGGGTTCCTTTCACATAACCCAGGAACACTTAACATACAAAAAAGAAGCTAAACACTAATGACAACCACTGTGCACGTTGCAGTGTCTATGCACTCCTAGATGAAAACAACCATTAAGAGTGAAACCTTTAGAACCTGGAAACTTTGAACAGCTACCAACTGCATATCTATGCATGCCCATTTTTGTACAGCCTTTTCTCAAACACAGACAATGAAGTGAAGACATAGAAGCAATCACATCTGGGAAGGTTAGATCATTTAAAAAAGCATAATGAGGGATCTGTGGAGTAAAGATTAAAGCAAAGATCAAAGAATCCTAAAGTAGATAAACTCCACCTCTGACCAAATGAGCAAAGTTACCAGTGAGACCTTCAAGATCAGTGGGAATTTCAACCTCATATACAAACTCAGCTCTAACAAGGTGATTACAGTCTCTCTAAGTGAGATCATACTGTGAGAGCGCACTGATGAAGCATACAGTATCAGAGTGAATGGAAAAACAATTAGTGAAATGACGATCAAAGCAATCATCAAAGGAAAAGTGCGTGGCTCAAAATACAAAGAACATCATCCTGCAGGCCCAAAAAGCAAAGTGTAGAAAGAGAGAACAAAGTCAAAACCGGGGAGTTTGGGAAAGGAAAACTCTGGAGCTGAGAGAGCTTCAACCACGTATCCAACGGTAGGCTACAGCCTCTGCTCTGAGGGGAGAGGAGCAGGGATGACATGAAAGCAAGATATTATGCAAAACACAAACAGAGTAGAATTAATGATCAAGGAGTCCAGTAGGTCTGCAACTAATTATTTTTTAATCATCAAAATTATGCTAAAATATTTAAGACTAGCAGCAGGGCTCTAGTGATGGCAATGTCGGTCTGAAGGTCAAATCAGAACCTTGGTCCAGTAGTGAATGTCTTAACTACTATTGCAAGACATTCATGTTCCCAGAGGATGACTCATACTGACTTTTGTGATCAGACTTTCACTTTTTCCATTACTTCTGTTTCTGACCAAATATCTGCAAAACTAATGACAGTCCTATCATCACCTTCAGCTGTAGCAAAAGGTAGCATGATAATGCGCTAAATTAAGATTGATGATGAACATGGTGAACATAATCCCTGCGTAACCTCAGTCTGTTAGCACTGTCATTGTGAGCATGTTAACATCACATCGCAGCTCCACTAGCCTGGCTGTAGACTCACATTATTTGATTAGAAGACTAAGAACAAGTACACATTCAAACTGCTTGTGTATTTACTTTACAGTTAGATACCAGAGAAAAAAGCAAGAAATTCTCTGAAACCAGACATTTTTGAATGACCCTCCCCTCTAAAATGAGTCCCGTACACTCCGCACAAGGCTCCAACATATCACACGGACAGGCAAAGCAATTTTCAAGGTCAAAACACTGTGTGCTTGAAAATAAGGCCCGATATGAGGATTTGATTTAGCCTCTGCTGCAGTAACATTGAGGGTTTGCGAAGTTGAAGTCAAGCGATATCTCAGAAGCAGTCTAAAAACAGTCGCTTTACTTTTAAAATAAACACAAATTCTGTGTCTGCTGGCACCATTCACAAGATGCAGAAAAACAAATATCTTGACACACCAGCCAACACGGAGGCCAATAAACTACTGCTTATCTATCCAAGCCAGGCAATACAACAAGTAAAGTGAAATGCTGCTTGCAATGAATGAGAAACTCTTTCAAATACAACTGCTGTGTGTGGATATTTTTTTACAAATATCAGGCAATAAAGAAACTTGAAAAGCAATACTATGGTTTATAAATCCATACCGGGCAATAAAACGGGTTATTAATCGAAACAATGTAATTCACTGCCATATAAAGGAATAATTAAGGCTTATAAATACACTGTTTATGGAATTATGGCTTAATAATTCACAGAAGACAACACTGCTTTATTTATTTATTCAAATAAGTAAGTGACTTATAAATCTGCGGAGGTCTCATTAATGCACTGTATGTGATAATGTATCTATTCAAAATGCAAACATGGATTAGAAATCCAAACAAAAGCAAACATTTTTCCTTATAAAATTGTCGAAGGCAGGATTATGGCACATGGAATGAGATGTGAGATACATAATCTCACATCTTGTACAGCAATGTTGTGGCTTATGATTGCATACAAGCTGAGCTGATAATAATAATAATAATAATAATAACAATATAATAATAATAATAACAATAATAATAATAATAATAATAATAATAATAATAATTATTATTATTATTATTATTATTATTATTTATTTATATATTGTGTACTTTACTTTTACATTTTGGACACTTTAACAGAAAATATATTATATGTAACCATCCTGGGAAATAACACCAGCACATTTCCATTCAAACACACATATCAGACTTATTCCAGTGAGTTGTACTGCTACTTCAAACATACAAGTTAAGGCTGATGGTGGTGACCTCAGAGTAGATTATCGACTAAACGCATTCAGCCAATCAATATTCAGCTCGATATCCCTGCTGCTGCTGCTGCTGCTGCCTTCTTCCAATCTCATCACTGTTTGTTGGTTTGTTTTCCCTCCACAGTGTGTGTTTACTGATATGAAGTGACATAAATAATATTTGCAGAATGATGAGACCTGATAATAAATTGATTTTTTTCCCTGTCCTGTAGGTCTGCAGATGGAGAGTAAACAGATAATTTAAAATGTAGAATTGAACTGATGAAGTTGTAATAAGCATGGACGCAGTATTGATAACGTTTGTATTAGAGATGGATAATTACACGACTTCCTAATGAATAATTCACAGGTTTACAGATTATTTAAAGACTCTCACTGCAAGAAACCACATCACACATTACAGTATATAATACTGCTCCCTGATGCATGCTTTATTTATTAAATGTGATTATTCAGTGGTCAGAAATCATCGACTCAGCACATTCATATTCGATAGTGCTGGGCACCTGATGGCATTTGGCCAATATCTGTTTAGCACTTTGAAACAGAATATTTATTTTCCTTTTAGAGTATGTAAATTCATAGGATGAGGTCAGACTTGCTTTCTTGGGGCTTGGATCTCAGTCTATTAAGAGTTTACACTGTAGGGCTGTGCATAAAGAAGTAGCAGAAGCCCCATATGTGCAGACTCGGCACCTTTCATATCCAATACAGCTGAGCAGACAACAAGAGTCAGCCAACAGTAGATTAACGTGAAAGAACAGAATATTTTCAGCCCTTTTAATCCCAGTCCGGGGGGAATGCACAGCGCTCTGCAGGATCACAACGGAAGTACCTGCTAATGATCTGTAAACTTTACTTTTCGATTAGGTTTAGCTGTTGAGGGAGAGTAGCAGACAGTACTGGGTAACCTATACTGTATATTTAAAAGTGTCATATTGTCATCCTCTGTATTTATCACCACTTTGCGGAAATTAGTCAATAACAGTTTAGCATGTGTGAAACAGTTTCGATTAGACAAAATTTACTAGACAAAATGATTATTTTAGTTGATATTTTCAAATCTAAAGTCGTATCCTTTAACTTTTAAAAAACACAAATGATCTACTTCTTTCGGAGGTTGTCATGTCTTCCCAGCCTGATAATATATTGTTTGAATAGTGCTATGGATCAGTGTTTTTTTGAGTGAGTGCCCGATTTGGTAGCATCATGTGCACGCAAATTAGGAGAACACAGTCTAATGTTCCAATAATGGAAAGTTGGTGATAAAAAAACAAATGTTTTTTAACTTAAAATATTGAATAATTTAAACAAATGTGTGTCATCAATCATTATTGATTGCTGAATGAGCCAACACAATGGTGATTGAGCCTTTGGGAAACTGATGAAAGTATTGCAATAGTTAAATAGTTGCAGTATTACTAACAGTTCTGGCAAAAAATACTGTATTAACTTACTGCTAATGCAAACCAAACATATCCAACTGCTACAGCTGCACATTAAAAGCATTTAATTGTTTTTTATGAAGTAGTCAGGAAATGTTCACCACCATTCACCTGTCACCATTGTTCTTCCAAATGCCTTTATAAACTAAGTCAATGGTAATTTTCTGCATTTTTGACAGATTTGTTTTAAATATTGCAAAGAATAACGGAACAAGAAGGAGCAGCCGCTGTGAAATGAAGTGCTGCAGGCGACAGGCTGCATAGGTAACCAGCTGCTTTCATTGTGCCCGGCGATTCGCAGACTCATGCCATGTGCAGTGTAAAATTAGATCACGGTTGCTTGCTGAACGTTAGAAAAAAGGCCAATTATTGCCTGAGCTCTTTATTAAAATGATAATAGTTTGTTTGGCTGCCCCCAGAATTGGGACCTGTAGTATTAAACTGCACTTGCTGTTACCACCACTAACTACTTGTGTCAACCAGGAGTGAAATCTTACGCCTTGTAACTAAGAGAGTTTTTCTGCCGGGGGAGACTAAACAAACATTTGACTAAAAGTTCTGTGATCAAGCTGCCGACTTCAAGATGAGCTGCAGAGACAGACACTACTGGTTCTCTTGAGAGCAAAGAGGATATGAGAAACAAGGCAAGTGTGTGAATGTGGAGAGATATGGAAAGCCAGAAAGAGATTGTGATTCCAATCCCACAAGACTTGAGACAGGGCCTTGAACCAGCACAGAGACTAATGAGGCCAGAATTCACAACTCACACACACATTTATACTATTGTAATAGTCTGTGTTATATTCGTAAATAGTCCCTTTATAGAAGAAACAAATTAACCAGATCATTTAAAATGCATCTGAGTGCATCACACTCCTCACCTATGAACAGCTGGCTGTTCAGCTGCAGGTGGAAGTGTCCGTCAGTAGGAGCCTCCTGTGTGGCAGCAGGCAGTTCATCCAATCGAAGCGACGCTTCTTTGATGTTCCGCTCGGCTCGGACTCGATGCCACCGGTTGTCATTCAGCAGGATGCTCGACTCCACGCGAACCTCCAACGGCCCGTTACCCACATCGAAGGAGAAAACCACCTGAGTGGAGGCTGACGGAGGGGAAAAGAAAGGGGTGACAGAGAAGAAAGGTGGATAGCAAGTAGGGTGATTGATGTAGATAATGGAGAAAGAGAGGGAGATGGAAGGAAGGAAGGGAGCATAGGGAAGTATCAAAAGAGAAAAAACATGATTAATGGACTGTGGGAGTCATATTAGGATGAGATTATTGATTGTCGAACCAACCAATTTCATTAGACATCTTACCATTTGTTTGCCAAACGTTATAAAATGACTCTGTTGTCTGATGAAGCCAATGTATTTTATTGTGTAAATATAATTTTGAATTATTATTCTACAAATAAAACAACCATAATACAGCGCTTTCATTCAACTGCCACACAGAACCAAATACAATCAAGCGAAAATTAAGTCTGTCAATCAACATTTTCTTTCAAGTTTTTTCTAGGAAAAGAAAAATTTATCTGATATTGATGAGTCCGGCTTTTGTTGGGATAGAGAACTCATTCATTAAGCCCACAGACTACACATCATCATTTCATTTATGCAAACCAGATACACCCACAGTGTCAAGATTAATGAAAATGTATTTTTAAATAAAAAGCTGGTATGAATCTTCACTTCATAGCTGCATATTTTCACACAGCCCCTACAGTCCATCTAAGACCTGCCAATGCCACAACTGGGAATAGAAACAGGGGCTTTAACAAGCAGGTAGGTTGGACCAAACAAGCAGATGTGGGGGGGGGATGTAAGGCTCCCTGGGATGTGGTTTAATTACTTTTTCACAGCAAAACAACAAACACAAAAGCCAACAGAGCTCCTAACTAAGCAGACTGGGTATAGTTCTCACAGGACAACAACAAACACAAGACTAGAGAGTCTGGCAAGAAGTTATGAACTGATTACGTGGAAGAACTTGCAATCTGAAAGGAAAAAAGCAACACAAGCAACCTCCCAAGTAGAGGCAGGTGCAGATTCTATTCTGGGCTTCTTGCTCTCAGGCAGTATTCATTCAAGTACTGCACTTGTACAGTTTTTAGGTACTTAATGGACAAAAGGATTATTTTATACTACTTCATATATATAGTCCACTTCATGTCAGGGAAATATTGTACTCTTGTGAACAGATATTTTATAAAAACAAATGATGATGATGATCCATAAAATATACTGTATTGTTACAGATTAAAAATGCTGGCTCTGCAATTACGGCTACAAACAGGGTATAATACAATAATAGTACAGTATTAAGAAATAACCCAGAAATAGTACTTTGCTTTAAGTACTAAAGTACTAGAGTATAGTTTTAAGGTTTACTTTTACTACAGCTGCACTGGGTAAAGTTTCTCTCTGAGCAGCAGCATCATGAATCAGGACCACGGCCAGCTCCTAGGCTCTGTTGGCACTGGCCTGTTTCAGCACCACGGACAGCTCCTCCGTGCCGAGCGTCTGTAATAGCTCCCTATCAGGATGTCTGCTCAGCTTTCTCTTTGTTCTCTCCACCAGCAGCAAAAAGATTTAAGAGAATGCAGGCCAAGCTAACCATCATCCTTCATGTTGTGCTGGTGGAAGGTGGGGATGTATTACTATGGGAGAACAAAACAAGATGAAACAATATCCCAGCATCCTATAGTAACTTCATTTTTGAAATTGTTCTCAGGCTCAGCCACAGTGTTACAGAGCGATCTGAGGAAGCCGGCAACAGAGCAGCAGTATTCAGAGCTGGAACAACCACGCTGACAATGATTTCCCCCGAGGAGAGAGGCAGTTGGTGCAGCAGTGTCCCTGTATTAGATTCTCTGTGTGTCCCTTCAAATCCCATTTCTACAACAACTCCCTCCGAAATGCAACATAACATAAAAAGAAACAGAAAACAACAAACTAAACTAAACTAAATAGGTAAAGTGAATGATCTTTAGAAGGGCTCTAATAACTGCTTTAAGGCATTTATATAACCTGCCCTTAATGACACACACCACTGCTGCCCATAAATGTGAACCTCATACCATCCGCAATACTGTCATAACCATATACGCACAAGGACACCTTGTTGGGTATTAAAGCTATATTTTAAATGACACAATATATGGTAGGCTATAAACATACATCTCACAGCCGGCCACATTTCCATGGCACCCATAAACTAAATAACACCCTGTTGGTTATTGCTGTCATAATCTAAATGAGGCACTATAGCACCCGTAAATGCGTGAATCCCACAAGAGACAGGAATTAATGAAGGGTCACAGCTAAAATGTCCCTGAGAGTTCATAAAACTGTAAAATTAAAAACGAGGGCGCAAAAAGAAACCTGCAAGGATCATGAGTTCCCTTTTTATGGATTTCTTCTTTGGTACATTTTTAATTTGTTGTGTTGTGAATACAGTGTTGTCCCATGTGGGCAAGCATACATTATGCACAACGGCGTATAACATGCAGTACATTCAACTGAGGCCTGTGGCGGGAGAATATTGATTGGAAAACAACATACAATGCAACATAAAGCAGCTTAAAATGATGGAAACATGCAAGCAGCACCAGAAGAAAACACAAACTCCATACAAACCAGCCTGTCAATAAAAAATGTAACTGCCAGTTTCATACAACCTCAAGAGTTAAAGGATAAATGAATGTTTTTATGAAGTGTTCACAGTTTAACAAAGCAAAAAGAAACTTTTCTATAATAGAAACACATATATTCCCTTTAACTGTGTTCGATTTAGATTCAGTCCTCATCCTCTAGCTCCTACTTACAGCTCAGTTCGATCCGGATGAAATCTTTGATGCCCAGGTTTTCCAGGAACACACCAGACGAGGCTGTGGTTTTAAACAGGAAGGAGATATCTGCGCTCAGTTCTCCGTGGAAGGTGGGGAAGTGGAGGTATGACGTCTCCTTGTCGAAAAACGCAGCGTTCCAGAAGTTCTCTGAGAAACATGTCAAACACTCGCCGTCAAGATTTTTTATATGGAAATCACGTAGCAAACAAATGAGGCAACCTGTTAAGTTAATTAGGGAATTTGCGATTTAAACAGGTAATTAGAAACTGCAATTATGAAATAATTTAAGAGGAAAGACAGAATGTTCACTTTGATTGGTAAACAACAACAAATAATGCTTAGTCAGGTTACCAGCTGTATTAAAATCCTTAAGGACTCCTAGGGTTTTATATGATTTAGCTTTTGATTATTGTTTTTTCCCCATTCACACATTACTAAAAATGAATAGTTCGATATTTTATACACATTTTAAATAAACAAGATATAACATATTAATTCATGAACTTAAGAGATGTTTGAAAGCTGCTTTTTTTTTAACCATTTACCTTTAGACAGAGCCAGGCTACTGTTAGCCCTCTGTTTCCAGTCTTTCTGTTATGCTAAGCTAATCAGCTGCTGGCAGTAGCTTCACAACATCAACCGTCTCATTTCACTTTCCACCAAAAGAGCAAATAAAATGTGATTAACTATTATTTTATAAGAATTTCTTGGCCAGAAGTAACTGAATTAGAAAGTTACGATGTGGTGAAAACTGAAGACTGATTTGTTCGATTAGGATTTAGTTTTTCGTTTGACCGAAGCTCTTATATCAGCCATGCAACAGTGATTTCCATAATAGGAAGATTTCTGTCATCTTATTATCATGTGTAACTAGGCAACTGGAGAACTGGACCGGACTTACTGTCTCCATGACAACGCAGTGGTCCCACCCTATAGGCGGCCTCTGACCCCGGCCTCTGGATGTCACCCAGCACCAGAGACTTGACTGGGAGGCTCTCCTTATGGGTGAGCAGGCCAGAGTCTTCAGTCCTGCGGGCAAAAAAGAAGAGAAGGGGGAAGGTGGTGAGCAGGTGAGGTGATGGAGGATGATGGTGGAGAAGTTCAACAAAAAGCAGGAGGAGAGGCAAAGCAAAAAGAAAGATAGATGAGACCAAAGAAAAAAGTAGAGAAGGAGGGAGGAAGATCAACAGAATATTAATATGTGGAAGAAGAAAGGTTGATGTGGATAATCAACATAACTCACAAACATCAAACTATGATATTTTGCATACATAGAGTTATTGGTGTGTTTGTTTTTAATGTTACATCACCCTTGTGACAATATTACACGTCGTAACTAGCTGATGTAAACATTGCAGCGTGTAGGTGCAATCTCTTGGGGACCTATTTATTCCAAAACTGAATTATACCCATGCTGAGAGTCAAAATCCATCCCTGGCACTTTTTGGAACAGCTCCCAAAACAAGACACCTCCTGTCCATTTACGCCCACGTGGAGCTTTATGCACTTAAGATAATCCGCCTGTTAGCCTTGTTGCTGAGGAAAGTTGTGTATAAAAATACATCCAGAGGACTGGAAGGACTGGAAACGAGGAGTGTACACAGCACTTTGTGAGTCTGATGAAATATTGAAGAGCAGCAGTGGTAGCTCCGGTCTGTAAAAATAGAGCCGGTGTTGCACAGTTAGGACTGGGAAATGATGGAAGGAAGGAGGCAAAGGTAGGATTGCCTACAACATGAGGAAAGGTTAAAACTGTTATGTATTTTTTTTGCTCTGCTCAATTTATCCCAGACAATTTTTTGTTTGCTTAACCGCCAAAGTTACAAGTCAAACTGGGACAGTTTGCTAAAAATGTCTGTTGGTATACAGTCATCAGTCAGATGTAGCATCCTATAAAAAGGTGAAAAAAGACTACTTCTCAATTAGGGATTCACGATATGGTATAAACATAATATTGCGATTGTTCTGACAGATATTGAGATATATAGATATGATTTACAATTATTGTGGGAATAATGTTTTCATCACAGATTTAATTTTCAAACAAAAAAAAACTTTTTGGGAGGGTCTGTACCAAACTTTCAACAAGAGCACAACAGTTCTTCATTTTAATGTTATTTTGTCACACAGTTTACCTTAATTAAAACATAGCAATTCTTGCGATTTGCATATTGATTTTACAATTTGCATATTGTACTTGGCCATATTGCGATATTAATATTCATATCATCTCCAGATCTGCAGCACCAACAGCGTCCAACACCCATCAGGGGAATTTCTTATTCTGGCCTTATATTAGGGGTTGCCACTGCATGCAAGTAATACATTAATGATGAGGTCTAACTGCAACAAATGTCTCTTCCTATACCTCTTCAACATGTTCTTTTTAATGAATATGGTAAATGTATAAGGCAGATTGGATACAAATGTTCAAAATGAGAAGAAACAGAGCATTTAGACTTTCTGTCACACTCTACTCTGAAACAGCCTTTACTTTGTGACTATAAGAGAAAAATACATAAGAACATGTATGTGTTCATTCATTTCAGTACCACTCCACTCGGTCGGCATCGCAGTTGCAGTAGTGTTGTGGGTCCAAACAGTCGCCCTGCAGCCCGCAGGCACACTGTTGGCTGCCCGGTTGAGCTCCACCCCAATAAGTCTGGACATGACCACGACCGGGACCTCCGAGCCACCAGCTTAATGGCGAGCCCTCTGAAACACACATACAACCAACAACAACTGATGTTTATGCCATATAAGAGAGAAATATTTGGTTCAGTTAGATTCTGCCTTTTACACCAGAGTCTTACTTTTTTGTTTAACAGTGTGAACTGTGTGTTTTCTCTCTTTATTCTCACACAAAAGCACTTTTTGGAAAATAAACATTACAGTATCCCAAATGTTTCCAACAATGTTCAAAACCAGGGAAATCTTATTTTTTTTGTTTCACCGCTGGCCTGTCAATGCCTCAGTGTTGTTGTCATAAATTGACTTTTTACCCAGTTTTCAGCCAGATTTGTACACTACACTTTTTAGATCTTGGTCGTTTAAAGGAAAGGATAAAGGATTGCAGTCACCCAACGCCTGGATCTTAAGTTATCAGAAAAACATGCTGAATTAATGTTAGCAGCAGCTCGGCTAGCAGACCATCCAGGACATTGTTTGTCAGCATCGGAGAAACACAGATTTTTAAGGTGAATCTGCTTTATTCAGTGTTTTAATCACCGGGTCAGTTTATTTTGGAGAGGAGGAGGCCTGCGCTGATAATTTGGCTCCGGTAAAAAAAAAAACGCCACCGTAGTTCGTCCTACACACTTGGAAGGCTGAGCTGTATTCAAAAGTGTTCAATTTCCACTAGATGCCACTTAATCCTACACACCTTTAATGGACATCATACGATCTGATACTGAAACAGCACATACACATTAAGCATTCAGCGATGAAACACAAAAACAAATACATGATTCCTTTTTGTTGTAGTGTTGATTTCTCTTCACTTCCCCTGGGAAAGCTATGAGTATATCTTGGCTCTTACAATCAAACTGAAAACACTCAAGTAAGTAAGAAGTAAGAATGTCTTCTATTGATATGAAAACATTGTGAGTTAGGGTCAGGAAAGGTCCCTCCATTCCCTCATTCCAAAAAATCAATGATATCCATCTATGTTGCTTTTATTTCATCTATTTTACTGGAACTTCTGCACAACAACACCACAGCTATAAAGACTGCTTTTGCATTGTTGCTCTGGGTATATGTAGGTTACTGCTCTTTTCTTGTCATGTTGATGTACAGACTGAAGCTTTTTCAACAATAACACTTTGTAAGCCACTTTAAAAGTATTTACTAAATGTCAAGAAAGTAAAACATCCATCCACATGTGCCCTCCCCTTCTCTGTTTTCAGTTTGTCTGCTTTTCCTGTCTTGTTTTCTCTCTCTCTCTCTCTCTCTCTCTCTCTCTCTCTCTCTCTTTACTGCAACCAGACTCTCTGAGGAGTATAATTAACAAGATAAATGTTGAATTTATGTTTGTATAATGATAATCATGAACAGTTTACTGCTCACTTTCTCACAGCCATTATTACCACACGTAAAGTAGTATAAACATTGCTCTTGGTTGTTGACGCTGACTCTCAGCATCATGGTCAAATTACCAGTACAACCACACAAGAAAAACACAGACAAACTAATTGGACTCATTCTAAAAGAAGGAGACATTTAAACAAATCGTACACGATCCATTCTTCTGGCTCACTGGTAGATACGAGAAAAAAAAACCTTAGAGCTTGATTAAGTTTGCAGCAATGAGCATAACAGTCATTTTGTTTTGTCTGGTAGAGCGAGGAAGATGTGTGGCGCCACAGGGAGTTAGATTGTTTTCTCCAGAGCTTTTGGTTTCCTTTTTTACATAATGATATATGCCACATAACTCACTATGATAAAATTAAAGTCAAAGCAAAAAATGTAAAACAAATATCTGTATCATTCAATGGTTACAAGTCGAGTAAATCAAGTCCCTGATAGAAAGAAAAACAATATTTTACTATCTTAATGATGATCATTTGTTTTTCCCTTATTTAGTCTGAGTTAAAGCGTTGGAGGTAAATGAAACAGAGCAGATATTTCAGCAGCCTACATCAAGAATCTTCAAGTTAGAAAAGACAGCAGCTTACCCTTTCTGGTTTGAATCCCTGCAAAGAAAATTTGACAGTAAAAGAGCAAGTACCAAAGAAACAGATGCTTACCTGGAGTGTTGAGGAGGCGGGACTTCCTGCACTGGTAGGACAGTTCCTGCTCGCAGTGCTCTGATTGGCTGATGGCGGCCGATAGCTGCTCCTCTTCAGTGGAGTAGTTGAAGTGGACTAAATGCTGGTTTCTGCCTGAAGACGATCGGACTCTGGTGAGCTCTGTGTTGTTGTGCTGGATCACCATCCACGTGTTCTCCTCTGCAGATGGACAGACAGACACAAGAAAACAAACATTACCATGAAGACACTTTGTGGTCCTTGTATTTTGGCTTCTGCTTGTAAAATCAGGGAAAATCAGAACTTTCGCACCAAAAGAGTAACTTTAATCTCCTCTTTCTATTTTACTTTTGCATTATTTTTGTATAAAAGTGAAAAAAAACTACTGCACACTG